CCCCAAAACCCCAAAACCCCAAAACCCCAAAACCCCAGAATACAATCTTACATTGAAGGATATGAAATTACTCTTCTTGATCAGTCAGCTCTCCTCCTTCATACTTTTTATTTTCATGTATTTTCTTTGGTATATCCCACAAAACGTGTGGACTAATCAGCTTATGCTCCTTTATCTTTGCTCACATGTCTGCAATCTTGGCTATGTCTTCCTTCTCATAACTCACTGGCAACTCAGTGTTGCTGTCGATCAGGTCTTGCATCTCATTGATGAGGTTGAACAACTTGTTGCGTTGCAGGACCAACTCTTGGGCTCTATTAATAAAAGAGGAAACCTACACAGATTCAAACCTTCCAAATATCTTGACTGCAAAGCTACTGTAGTAGATCATGTATTTGGATAGTGGCTCTGAGAAGGTGTACTGGGTGAAGATGTCTTTGGCAGATTCGATCTTTTTAGAGAAATATTTCTTCTTCCGCTTCTTGTTTGAACAGTACATGTCGTATTCTTTGACGCTCATTGATTTGAAGATTGACACATTACAGCGGGTTGGGAGAGATAGCATGTTGGATAGAATGTCTGAAGGTGAGATAGAGAGATTACTGTTGAATTGCTCTTTGATAAAGTTTATTCTATCTTCACTAACAGATTAATAAAATTTACCTAGCATCTCTCATATCCTGCGCAACCTTATCAATCATCGAGTATCTTATTGATGAAGGGTCTTTCTTTATATCGACCCAGAGATGATCTTCACAATATTGTTCGTTTCTTTTTAATGGGGGAACCACTGGGTCTTGACTTTTCCCATTTTCTTCTGCTAATTTCAGCTATTATAAATTAGGAATTATCCAAAAGGTTACATATACATCAGAATGTGTAGCAACTGAAAGGAACAAAATTATATCTATTAGCATCAATGAAAAATAATGTCAGAGTACCTTTTCTTGCAATCGTTTGTTTTCAATTTTAAGTTGCTCTATTTCTAGATGTAGAGATTTGACCTCAGTACGAAGCGACTCTACAAACTCTTTCTTCCTTTTACGATACTCTTGAGATCTTTGTTTTGTATCTTTGATCTTTTTACTTTTTATCGAAATAGTAGGATCTGTTGTATTACTAGACTTTGACTCCATCTTATCCATATTATATATTACCAATCTATATTAACCCCTCAGGGGTTTTGGGGTTTTGGGGTTTTGGGGTTTTGGGGTTTTGGGG